CGTCTTGTAACTACCGTATTTGAGGAACACAAAGTCACGTTTAAATATCTTTTTGCCTTTTATTTTCTTCTTCCCATACGTAACCTTTCCTGCTGACAATTTCAATATTGAGGAAGTCAAGTTCATGATGATGAGAGTGTCTTTTCCAAAATCTGTAGGGACCCCCATGAGCTCGTAAGTGAAACAGACAACTTACATCCAGAGACAACTTACATCCAGAAAATTCTAAGATAAGTGAACACAATTTATTCTTATGTTATAAAGATGCCAAATTTTCTAAAGAAGGAGAGAGCTCATAGCAAATGCTTCCTGAATTTCTACAGAGACATATTCCATTCTTGCTTTTGATCCTAAGTCCCCTAATTTCACAGGAAAGAAACATTAACAGAGAACCTACAAGGCGACTAGTAATCCTTTGCTTTGTACACTGGCAAGTACATATTTCTCCTAAAATTTATAAAGCAATTAGACACTAAGCTGAGATTTATACACACAACTTCCCACACAAAGTAAATTTTTCCTGCTGGGTTATGAATCCCAGAGCAAATCTGTACTTAGATCTCTTCTGGCAACACTGATGGGCCCTTTGTCTGTCATCATAGCCCAAAATCACTCAGGAAATAAATAGAAATCTTGGCTGGTTTGCAAAATTTTGACAACAATGATACCAATAAAATACCACGTTACTCGTCCGTGTGCCTGTCAAATTTAACACAGATGCAAACACATGCAATATGGAGCCAGTGACAGAAAAGACAGATAACTCCTCCCCTTCATGTACCCGAGACTAACATCAGCAACTCATATGGGAGGGAAATATGTTGGTGATTTTACTAAAGCAAAGAGCCAAGTCTTTATTCTAAACGTACCTAAAAAACTGACCAGAATAAAGATCAGCAGTTCCTAAAAGAAATGTATTTCTTCCTTGGCATTTTTGATTCCATAAGAATCCAACGTTTTTGTTCTGGGGTTTCCCACAAAAAGGTTGGTAAGGAGGGGCTACAGGGGCAGGGGGTGGGATGACACGGCACCTGGAAATCTGAATTGCATCACCCGGCCCTGAAGCGGGGGACCTTGGACAGGTAGCCTAACCCTAGGCTCGATTTTCTTTGCTGGGAGATGAAATTCACACCGAACATGCAGCATTTTTTGGAATCAAAATAAATAACATACCAGATGTAAAATCACCTGGCACATAGTAAACATTCAAGAATGGTTATTTTGTAAACAGCGAGATTTTTGACTGGTTAGGTATGTCAGAACATAATGCACTGTTCTATCCGGTTAAGCCTGTGCAAAGTCATTTGACCGTGCATTTGAAGCTAACAAAAATCTATGATGTGTGAGGGAAAAAGCATGATGATCTTCTCGGTGCCATTTCCTGGTCAGAAGGGACTGTGGTTTGGATATTCAGATGCATGGATAAACGGATGGACGAATGAATACGGATGGGTGGAAAGAAGAACGGCTGGATGGGTGACTGGGTGGATGGGAAAATGGGTGGGTAGATGGATGGGTGGGTGGATGGAAGGGGGGATGGATGGATGGTTGGATGAGTGGATGGATAGATGGATGGATGGATGGATGGAAGGGTAGAAGAGTGGATAGATAGAGAGATGGATGGACGTATGGCTAGACAGACAGACAAGACAGACAGACAGACGGCTACCGGGATGAATGGAGATTTTGGAGCTTACTGACAAGACTAACAAAATCCCTAAAGAAAAAAGTGGAGAATATGCCCACCTCTCAATGTATTGTTATCTTTCCTGTCTGAACCAGTGATTCCAAAGGAACTAGATCAACTTCCCTGAGGGCTCCAACATTACTTTCTCTTTTGAGAACACTACTGATTGAGGTCTTTGGTTTTATTCTCTACAGAAAGTATCGTGAAGTATCGTGCTTAATATTCATATCCTCAGATGTAAAAGATACCAAAGAGCTAACAGATTTTCCAGAGACACATCCAGGAAAATATCCCATCTTTTTTTAAAAAACAGTATACAGCGGCAAAAGCTTTGGCCCTTACCTGAAGGTGGGTCCATTCTGTATTTATTCTCTTGACACCAACCAACTGGTCGAAGTCTGTAATCCAAGTAAAACAACCACTGGTCATAGGATTCAGTGTCCTCCAATCCCACATAGCGAAGGCGTAATCTTCCTCCAACATTTTCAATCACACTAACTATCCAGTACTGAAAAGGGCTCTGAGAATCCTGAAGTTCTATTAAGGAATCAACTGTAATGAGGTCTATAGGGCCTTTCCCTCGCAGAGGCTGTTTAAACAGAAGCAAAACTCCTTATTTTAAACTTTCTTTTAAGGTTCTCATGGAAACAGATGACAGCAGAAGATAATGCTTTTTCACACCATCATCCAAGCTACTGGCAAACAGTCTGG